GAAGCTGAAAATTTAGGGGAACGTTCCCTACGCACGTGTGACCTCGCAAATCTAAATTCAGCTTCCTCGTACCCGCGGGTAACGCATACGGCCCTGTGAAAATTTTTTACGGGTAAGTTAATATCTCGGGAACGACGGAGTCTAGGAGGCTGAAATTTTAGGGTAATGACCCTCTGTCCACGCCCAATCTTGCTCATTCAAATTCAGCCTTCCCATACCCGCGCGTAACAAGTACGGCCCCGTGAATGTTTTTCGCGGGTAACTCAATATCTCGGGAACCACGGAGTCTAGGAGGCTGAAATTTTAGGGGAATAACCCCCTGCCCACGCTCATTCTTGCCTATTCAAATTCAGCTTTCCCACTCTCTTGAGTATCACCTACTGTCTCGTGAAAATTTTTGCGGGTAAACTATTAACTCGGGATAAAGATACTCATCCTTCAAAGTTTCGAATTCAGCTTTCATGCGCTGGTGCGCAAAATTTTTAATTGTTTTCCAAAGTTTGAACTATTTTTGCATAGACTAAAGTACAAAGGAGTAAAAATCATTAATAGGTAATCGTTCGATGGGCTGAACTGCACAAAACTTATGATCGCACCGGCTAGTCTGGTGCGCACTGCTGTTTATTTAAATCGGCGGCGTGGTCAGTACGAATTCTCGAATCAGCTGAATGAGCGAGTGGTAAAAGAATCGATTCCTTTGAAAAAGAAGGAAGTTAAGAGTAGCTTTCGAGCTCTTATCTTGTTTCGAGTTCTTAATGCTGTTCAATTTCATCAGTTTAGCAAAACATCAAGTTGGTCTGTTGTGAAATTGGGAAAAGCCGCTTCTTCACTTCTCGAAAATCGGCAAAATTTTTGTTGAAAAACAAAGCTAGCGTCGAACTGTGGCATAATTTCGGCAAATTCATCTGTTGCTGGCAGTGGTGGACTTGAATGACGGTACTCTGGAGTAGATCTTTCAGTGCCAAGAATCAGGTTGTGAACTGGCGGATTATCCGAAGTGCACCACTCGTTCATATTCAGTTGTGCTATAAAATTACGAAATTTGTGAAGCCATGAAAACAACCACAGTGGTATTTGCACGGCAAAATGTTAGCAAAAATTGAAGCCAAAAACCTCCGCAGTATTCGATCTCCACAAGAGTAGTCTGAGTGACATCAAGAACCAACAGCACATATCCACTAGCAAGTCTGGTCCCCTTGCTTTACTTGCTTGTGCCAGTATCAATTTACCATTGAAATAAATTAACGAATCGTAGAGGAATTGGTCTCCCAACGACGTAGTTAAACTCTCGGTCTTAGCGAAAGTTATTTAGCCTCAGTTTAGAGCGCTGAACATTGACCTTGATTTAAATTAATTCGTTAAATTTAACACCTAGAAATTTGATGTTCGCTGATCCGGTAATTTCTCCACTGTTCGATATAAGATAAAGAGAAAAAAGTAGTTTCGTGGGTTTAGCTTGCATCACGGTCCCCAGTTGATCCGAACACATCCATACTAGCAAACATTTCTCTCGGCTGTACGGATATATGCGACCACTAGCGGATGGAAATGCCTTAAAATTCGATGAATTAGGACGAATTGTGCTTTTTGGTTTTTTACCTAACAGTACAGAAATATCCCGGGCCTAGGCCAACAGTAGGATTCAGTAATTATTATCTCTTGTTTTCTTCGATATTTGGGCGGTTACCATCATTTCTCCCGGCAAGAGCAGGGGATCAACGGGATTACTGAATAATTGTGCATAGTAAAATTACGCTGATTGCTGTTGCGTTGGAGCGCAACTTCCAGCTGATCAAACGAGCACTGTCATTGACGATTACTAGTAGAAGACGCGCAATATGATCCTGGCCTTGCTCACGAGCGAACTTGACAGTGCTGCAATTGAAAAACTTTGTTTAAGTCGTGGCTCTGGACCAGTTTCTCTCAGTGGGGCAGATTCTTACAAAAGAACAAAATTCGTGATCTTTTTAGGCTAAAATGCTAAAATTAAACAAGATTCTCAAAAGCGGGAACTTTTCCTGTGAACCGCGTTTTATGAAAGACGAAGACAGTAGTAGTAGTCCGGATAATATGATTCTGCGAAAAGCAGTAGTGTTAGTCACTCTATTATTTTCTCAATTTTCTGCAGGTTGAAACAAGCAAGCTAAAGGCGGTTTGAGAAGGGGAGTAAATTTCAAAGTGGATTTAGCTCTAGTCTAAAACCCAAGAGTATACGATTTTTCTGCAGCACTTCCTGCTGCATGCATCTAAACCCTACAATACTCGTCAACCTCTTTCTTTTAATAAGTTCGCACATTTAGTCAGATTTTTATGCCGTCCGAAAAAAAATTTGTTTCTAAACTCATTAGTTACTCCACCCTCTTTCATTTCTTCTCATCCTTGGGTTCTGGCATGTGTGCACAATATCTGAGCAGTACAAGCGCACTGAGTTTCTTGTGGCTTGCAAACATGATTGCCCCTGCCAAAAGACATTTTCACTTTTATCACTGCTTAAAATGCGAGGTAACTGCAGAGGCGATCGGAGCTAGGAAGAGACACTGATGAGCAGGGGTGAGGGGGAGGAGTGGTGAAGCAGAGTTGGAAGGCAGAAGCGGAAAGGAATAGGAAAATCTGTATATCAAAAAAAAAACTTCAGGTGAAATTACAGATTTATGCGGCACAGGTTAATCATTTTTGGATTTAACACAAAGAGCTCGTTTTAAATTTTTGCGGAACCATTTGAGGTTCATTTATTCGAGAGTAGTTCAGTTTAAATTTATGCTTCCTTTGTATAAAGCAGTTAAGAAAACCTTTGTTTATCGACTGCTATGACGCCACTCTCTGGCTTCGCTCTGAGCCCCACTGCTGCGATTTCGCGCGCCTGGAATGCTGCATCCGCATCCACTGCTTCTGGGTAATATCTGTATTTTTCAATACTCACTTCGCGAGGCTGTTATTTTAGGAGAGCAAATGAATGGTTGTACGTATGAACTGCTAACTCTGACTTTAATATCCACACAGCTTACAAATGAATGAACGCGCTGCAGCACGGCGGAAAAATAGTCACTGCCGGCCAAGCGCCTTGTTTGAGCTTCACATTATCCAGCTTTCCACGCATAGGCCCAGATTTTCATTTTGCCTCCATACGCTACATGCGGTTTGTCTACTTTTTTCTCATATAAATTAACTAATACTAATTAAAGAATTTTGTTTCATTTAGCCCCACTTCACTGTCATTCTAGATTGCCCTTCAGTGGCGTGAGCAGGAGATTCTCAAGAAGAGCATTTTTGCTGAGGCGACGTTTTTGTGTTTTTTTTTGTAAAGCAAATAGAAAAATTGGCCAACGCACGGGCTGCCCGTGCGAAGATGCTTTTTTTGCAGAGTTCCCTGCAGTTTT